GAGAACCGCACGGACCACGCGTGGTGCCTGTGATGTCACACGGACTGTGGGACCTCACATGTCCCATGTGTCACCACAGGACCTCACGTGTCACCTGCAGGCTCATCTGCTGCCCAGACAAGCTCTCCAAGACCCTATAGGCTCACACAGAGTCCCTATAGGTTTGCATGATCCCTATATGGACTCCACGGTCTCTATAGGATTGCACACTTCCTATAGGCTCACACAGTCCCTACAGGCTCACACGGTCCTTATATGAGCTCCCACCATCCCCACCGGATCCCACAGTCCCTTATAGGGTCATACACGGTCTGTTATAGGCTCCCATGGTCCCTATAGGCTCACACTGTCCGCATAGGTTCACATGGTTCCCATATGAGCTCCCACAGACCCTATAGCAGTGCACGGTCCCTTAAAGAATGCCGTGATCCTTCTAGGCTAATGCAGTCCCTATGAGGTTGCCTAGTCCCTATAAGGTCATGCAGTCCCTACAGGCTCTCATGGTCCCTATAGATTCAAGTGCTCACGTGTCCCCACACTGCTTCACGTGTCACCCTGGGCTCACGTGTCACCAACTGTTACCTATAGATCCTGTGCCCCCGCTGCCCCAAGAGTTCCTGAGGGCTCCACATGTCCCCCCCCCATGTCCCCTACCCCTGTGGGTCATCATCCCCACGTCCTCACATCCCCATAGGGCCCCATAGGGCGTTGGAGTCCGGGGGGGGGCACAGTGACGGCAATGCTGAAACCACAGCGAACGGCGGCAAAGCCACAACTGGGACACAGCCTTGGGGGGGGGGGGGGGGGCAGGAAGGGACCGGCACAGGGAGGGGACACCCAGCAGGTGGGAGGCCAGCGGGGGCCAGCGGGGTGGGGGCCATGAGGAGGGGAACACCATGGAGGGGATGGTGGGGAGGGAGCAATGGAGAGCGGAATAATGGGGAGGGGGACAGCAGAGAGGGAACAGTGGGGTGAGGGTTGTGAGGTGGGGGCAATGGGGACACCCAGGGAGGGCACAATGGGGAGGGGGACAACATTTGGGTTGGGGGCACGCAGGGATGTGGACAGAGGGGTGGGGGGCACGGGTGGACACACTGAATGTGGGGCCACTGAAGCACAGTGGGGATGGGGACACTGGGGGCAGAGGACACGGGGATGGGGGGCAGCTCCAGCCCCAAGGCCTTCGCAGCGTCACTGCGTGCCTCGCACGCATTCTTGCACGCTTGCAGAGGGCTGCGCCACCCACCAGCGTCTGCACAACGTTGTGCACACTCGTGAAAGCTCGCACCTCCCGCCCTCGCACGGGGCTGTGCCGGTTTGCGCGCACACACGCGCCCTTGTGCGCTCCGGCGCACACCCAGGCACGCGCGGCGCTGGGAATGCGGCGTTTGACTCAGCCCAGCATTACTCAACGCGCCGCCGCTGCCGGGAAGCGCTGCTCCGTTTCGGGGCCGTTTTGGGGCCACTCCTGCCGGGAAGCAGCAGTGAGAGGTCGGTGAGGTCTCCCCCCACAGGCGGCACCAGCGCTCCCACGGCGCTGCCACGGGGACCCGACAGCCCCTGCTGGCCCCACGGGGATCCCACAGCACCCCGCAGCCCCATGGAGAACCCAACAGAATCTGCTCAGCCCTAAAGGGTCCCCACAGCATCCACTGGTCCCATGGAGACCCAGTAGCATTCTCCAGCCCCAATAGAATCCACTGAGCCCTATACGGACCCCATAGCACCCATCAGTCCCATGGAGACTCAACTGCACCCCACAGCCCTAAAGGAGCCCAAAAGAACCGCACAACCCTACAGGGACCCCACAGCCTCATGAGGAACCAACAGCCCCCATCAGCCCTACAGGGACCCCATAGCACCCTGCTCCCCTATAGGGACCCAGTAACAACCCATAGCTCCCAAGGAACCCAACAGCATCTGCTCAGCCCTATAGGGACCCCATAGCACCCATCAGCCCCATGGGGACCCTTCAGAATCCACTCAGCCCTACAGGGAACCCCATAGCTCCCTTAAGTCCCATGGGGACCTCGAGTGCCCCATGGGCACCCACTGACCTTACAGTGAAGCGACATCAGAGCCACGTTCCAACCCCGGCACTGCCCCGCACATCACGGCAAAACACAGCATGACATACAACAACATGGCAGGGCACGGCACAATGCATCATGAGAGAATGTGCCATGACATAAAGGAGCACTGTAGGACATGGGACAACATGTCAAGACACGGGACAAGACACCACGACATGGGACAGCGTGTCAGGACAAGGGACAACACACCATGACACGGGACAACATGTCACAACATGTAAAAACACGGGACAACACATCACAAAATGGGACAACACATCAGGACATGGGGTAACATGTCATGCCATGGAGCAACACATCCCTGCACGCCGCAATGCAGTGAGGTGGCACCTCCTCACCACCCATGGGACTGCAGCATCCCCACCACGCTGGCACAGGGCTGACAACGGGGTCAGATGGGGACAGGGGGTCTCTGGGACATGACGTGGGGGGGGCTGCGGTGAGGGAACCCCAGCATGGGGCCATCCGTGGGGACATGTGGACAGCAGCGGGGACAGCGATGGGGACATGGGGACAGGAGGATATGCGGACACAGAGACATTAGCAGGGATAAAGGGACAGGGGTATGGGGATATGGAGACGTTAGTGGGGATGGGGACATGGGGATGTGGGGACAGGGGGACATCAATGGGACATGGAGACGTAGGGACAGGAGGGCATGCGGATATCAGTGGGGACACAGGGACATTGGCAGGGACACAGGGACACCATGGGGAGACGGGGACTGCAGAGCTGATGGTGACACAGCATGGTGACAGACGGCTGCTGCTACGCGGTGCCACCTGCGTGCCCCCATCCCCGCCACCTGCGCCGGCCCTGACCACATCTGAGGGCCCCGGAGCCGCGCAGGGGCACCGCTGGGGGCAGGGAGGGCCGGGGAGCAGGAACGAGGTGCAGCACCAACCCTTGCACACGCGTGTGTCATGCACACTGCCTGCACTTGTGCACACTGAGCACAGCACACCTTGCACGCCCAGAGCTGCAGGACTGCATGCACACAGCTCTGCGCTCACCTGCACACACTGACTGCACACTTGCAAGGCCCCTTGCACACTCATGCACACGCCCCACGCATTGCACACTGCACACATGCACAGCAGCCATACGTTCCACGCTCACCCTCACTCCTGCAGCACTGGGTGCACACACCTCTACGCTCGGCAGCATCGACTGCTTGCACACTCACACATTTACACACACACACACCTACGTTTCCATATCTGCAGAGACACATAGGTTGCACACTCACACTGTGCGCATGCACATCAGCCACATTTGCACAATCATCCTTGCTCTTGTGAGCTTGCATGCACACGCCTCCACTCTCCTGATCCGCCTCTGCTTGTGCACTTGCATAAACGCTTGCACACTCCCACACGCAGATGCTCTCCCCTCATTACACACCGTGTGCACGCATTGCATGCTCACCCTCGCTCTGCAGGACGCCACGCACACACCTCTGTACTCACCGGCACCCACTGCTTGCACACACCCTCGCATGCCTCCCGCACTTGCAGATGGATGCACTCCCCACACGTTGCACTCACACCTCGCACACCTGCAGCAGCCGCACCTTGCACCCCCCCCCCCTCACTTCTGCAGGACTGCACGCCCCCTGCCTGCCCTTACACCTTACACACTTGCACAGACACTCACACAGTCCTTGCACACTCCTGCCCTTCCCCCGCACGCTCCCACCCACCACGCATCCCACCCCGGCCGTTTGCACTTCTGCCCCCCACCTCGCGGGCCCTTCGCGTGCTCACAGCCCCGTGCACCCCCCCACCCCTTGCACAACCCCTCCCCTTGCACGCCTGCCCCGTACCTCGCATTGTGGTGTGTGGGGCGCGGTGGTGCGGCCGGGCGTTATAAGGGCGCGGGGCCCCCCCAGCATCCTGCCCCCCCCCCCCCAGCATCCTGCCCCCCCCGGCCCCACGCACTGGAAATTTCCGACTTTCCACGGTGACAGTGGGGGGGGAACTGAGGCACGGAACCAGGGGGGATGTAGAGTGACCCCCTCCCTCCCCCGTGTGACCCTGCTGACCCCGCTTTGCCTCCCTGCTGTCTCCAGGGTGTTGTGGAGGGGGGGGCTGCAGCCCTTGGAGGGTGAGGGGTCACCAAGCTGCGGGCTGCAGAACTATGGGGGGGATGGGATCCATAGGATTGTGGTGGCAGAGGGAGGGGTCGGACCCCCACATGTGGGCTCTGCAGTCCCCTATTGTGCAGGGATGGGGGCACCAATGAGACCCCCGGTGCCTGTGGGGCAGCTATAGGGCTGGCACTGGTGCAAGCCATAGGGTCAGGGACTCGCTCATGGGCTGGCAATGGGGTCAGCCATGGGGTCGGCTACAGGGCAGCCACAAGGCCATGGGGTCAGTAATGGGGCAGCCATGGGGTCAGCCATGAGGCAAATCCATGGGTGAGCTACAGGGACAGACATGGGGTTCCCCAGGGACCCCAAGGGGTGGGATGGGAGGGCACAGCCTTAGGAATGCCTGAGTGCAGTGTGCTTGGGGCTGTGTCCCCCCTCATGTCCCCCCTATACCTGTGTCCCACATCCCTGTGTCCCCAGGTCCCCACATCCCCAGGACCTGGTGACATTCGGGAGGGGTGGGGCGGGGAGACTCTCCTGCCTCATGGCCCCGCCCACCCCATGGCCCCGCCCACGCAGCCACAGCTCCCCCACCCCTCCCGGTTCCTTTCGCTCCGCCCACACTCTTGGACCCCCCCCCTCCACATCCCCTCCTGCCTACAGCACAAGGGGAGGGGGCTGCAGCTGGGGACAGGGATGGGACAGAGGCAGAAAGCAGTGGGACTGGGGACAGGGATGGGGACAGGAACACACACCAAGGAGACACCACCCCCAGACGCAGCCAAACCCCAAAAAACCATCACAGGACACCGATGTCACTGCAGTGCCACGCTCTGATCCCAGAAGGTGACACAGGGACACCACACTGCCACCCCCCTCCAGCGTTACAGCGTCACTGCTAGGGACAGGCAGCCAGGGAGGGCTTGGTGTCCTCCACCTGGATGAAGAGCGCTGGAAGAAAAAGAGGAGTGACGCCATGTGACGATGTGAACACGTGGCAGCAGGCTCACAGTGCCCTCTGCCAAGTGCCACGTGCTATGGGGAGCCCCCATGTCACCCAGAAGCACATCTCTGGGATGGTCTCAGTGTCCCTGGCCCCGTCCCTGCAGCATCACAGCTCCTCACCAGTGGCCTCGGCGTACAGCGTGTCCCCTTTGGTGTCACGCACATGGCAGGAAAGGAAGATCTTGCGTCCCTCGTGCCGCTCCATGCAGCTGTCGGCCACTACCACAGCACCCACTGGCATGGGGCTGAGGGACAAGGAGGGGACAAACGTGTGGGGCTGGGAACAGAGATAGGGTTGGAGGCAGAAAGAGGAGCAGGGTAAGGACAGCTGGGAATGGGGACAAGGATAGGGATGGGGAAAGGGATGGGAATGGGGCGGGGGGACAATGACGCAGAGTCCTGCAAAGCGTGGGGACACTCTGAAGTGGTGTCTCCACACAGTGCCACTCACGCCAGGTAGCTGATGCTCAGCTTGGCCGTCACCACCGATGTTTTGGCCACCGCCAGTGCGCACGTCCCCACCGTGGTGTCAATGAGAGTGGCGATGGCACCACCGTGTGCGAAGCTGGGGGGACACGGTGAGCAGACAGGGACAGGGATGAGGACGGGAATGGGGACACGGCGTCACCTACCCATGGTGGCCTTCCAGGTAGGGTCCCAGCTGGCACAGGCACTGCGTGCGGTGGCCGGAGGCGTGCAGGAAGATGGCGTACTCAAAGCCAGCACCCTCTGCGTCCAGGTTGCGCAGGAACAGCCGTGGCCCCGGTCCCGTCACCGGCCCCACCACCATCTGCAGCACCTCTGCCAACAGGACGTGGAGTTGGTGACACAGTGTGGGTGACACTGCTGAGGGCGTGGTGTGGGTGGCACCATGTTGGTGACACGGTGTTGGTGCCCACCGCACCGGTGACGGTGCCGACAACACAGCGTGCTGACACAGCACAAGGGACAACCGTGGTCACCTGGGAGGTGGTCGAGGCCGCGGCGGTAGGAGGGGATGCGGCGCCAGGAGCCGTCAGCAGCACGGCGCAGCAGATGCTGGAACTGCTCACGCATGGCCACGCTCCACCCAGCATTGGGGACAGCCAAGTCCTGCGGGGACACCGAGCACAGAGCCTGCAGGGACACACGGCAACGGGGACGGGGGGGGACACAGACAGTCATGGCAGTGCGATGTGGGACCACGGTGGCACCGTGTGGTGGGGGGACAAGGACAGCAGTGGGGACACCGGGGGTTTGGTGGCACAGCTGTGGGAGGTTGACATCATTGGGGACATTTGGGGTTTGGATCACCAGTCCCAATCCCGCCCATCCCTCTCTGTTCCCTCCTGCCCCTGCCTCCCACCAGTGGCCCTCTTATGTCACCAGGTTCCCAGGGTTGGGACATTTATGCCATGTCATCCCCATGTGTCACAACACCCACAGCGAGCCTGGGCCCGTCACTGCCCTGGAGTGCCCTATGTCCTCATGTTCCCACCCCTATCCCCATGTCACTGCCCCACATCCCTGCGTCACCTCCCCTTGTCCCCATGTCATCAGCCAATGTCCTCATGTCACCAAACAATACCCCCATGTCACTGCGTGACACAGCGTCTGTGTCGCTGCCTCATGTCCTCATGCCCCGCCCCATGTCCCAGTGTCACTGCTTGATGTCCTGGTGTCCCTACTCCATGTCCCCATGTCACTATGCTGTTTCTGTGTCGTTGACCCATGTCCCTGTGCCACTACCCAACACCACCGCTCTGTGTCCCTGGGTCCCTATGTTGCTGCTCCATGTCCTGGTGTCCCTACTCCACATCCCCTTGTCCCTGTGTTGTCCCCGTGTCACTGCTCTACGTCCCCATGTCCTCGCTCTGTGTCCCCATTTCTGCCCCTGATGTCCCCATGCCTCTACCCGATGCCACCACCACCTGTCCCCATATCCCTACGATGCCCCCACATCCCTGCAATGTCCCCATCTCCCCATGATGTTCCCACGTCCCACCGAGGACCCCCCACCCCGCACTCACCGTGGGGGGGACCCGGCACAACCCGTGGGCCACCACCGCGCGCACCCCCGCCCCGCAGCTCCGCCACATGGCGCGAGGTGACGTCACCGAGATGACGCAACTCCCGTGACGACGTCACTCCGGCGCTGACGTCACTCCGCCTTCCGCGTGACCCCGCTCCTCGCCGCTGTCGCGCAGCGATTACGTCACAACGACGCGCCGGGCCCCGAGGTCAGGGATCTCCGCGCACCACTGCGTCCCCCCCGGCGCCCCCTGCCGCGCCCCGCCCCACCGCAGCGCTGCGAACCGCGACGCCGACCCCGCGCGGGAGGTGCCGCGGGCGGGGATGGGGGCGGAGCCTCCGTTCGGCCGCTTCCGGTGAGCGCGGGGCTCGGCCCCGCCCCACAGAGAGCGCGGGGCCCGCGGGGCCCAGCAGAACCCCGTAGGAACCCGTAAAGACCCACAGAGCTCCTGTGGAGCACCGTGCAGCCGCCCGCAGCACCAAACTCCATGACACACCGCAGACCCCCGATCAGCCCCGCGCTACCCCCGCTGATCTCCTTCACACCGCGCTGTGCCACCCCACACATCCCCTGCGGAACGCTGCAGAGCCCCGTGATCCCCATAAGCAGCCCATAGGTCCCCATAAACCACCGCACGGGCCCACGCCAGCCCTATACCGCCGCGCAGCGCTCATGGAGACTCGCACAGCCTTCATGCAGCTCCATGCTGCCCCCAAAGGGCCCCTGGAGGCTCTTCAGGTGAGCCGGCGTTGATGGCGATGTGGAGATGGGAACCCCGCGGTGAGGATATGGGGCCGGGGACCTCGGAGTGATAGCAATGTGGAGACCGGGACACAAAGATGGGCAGCCCAGAATGATGGGAACAAGAAAGAGAGAACCCCATGATGATGGGAACTACGGGGACATGGGAACAGGGATCCCATAATGGTGGAAGCACGGAAATGTGGACATGAGGTGATGGGAACCCCATAGGGAAGGGGATATGGCGCTGGGAACCCCACAGTGAAGAGATTTTGGGGATGAGAACCCCATGGAGATGGAGACCCAATGCCGATGGGGATATGGGGGTGAAAACCCCATAGAGAAGAGAACCTGAGGGGACCCACCCCAAGGCAGAGGCCACAGCAGAGTCATACAAAACACTTTATTGGGGCTGCAGGGCCCTTTCTCACTTCCTCCCCTTCTGCTTCATGTGCACCACGAAGTAGTCATTGCAGGCGATGGTCAGTCCGGCCACCAGCGAGAAGAAGCTCTGGAAGCCCACTTTGCCATCCCGGCACTGGTCCAGGTCCTTCATGATCTTATCCAGAGCCATGGGATCACGCTGGTTCTGGGGGCAGAAGCTTGTCAGCACCTCACAGTGGGATTATGGGGCTGTGGGTAGGTGTGACCCCACTCTGCCCCCCTCCAGGTTATATGACCGTGGGGTAGGTGTGTCCCTGCTCTGTCCCCTACCACCTAATGGAATCCAGCGGTTATAGGGCCGTGGGGTGGGTGTGACCCCACTGTCCAACCCCTCACCTCCAGGAATCCAGGGAACTCCTTCTCCATCAGTGCACGCAGGTCCTCCTTGCTCAGGTAGTTCTTGTCACCCGCATATTTGTGGAAGGTGAACATCAGCGTCTCCATGGCGTGCTCCATCTGGGACGGCATGGCAGCAGCTGTGGGGTCTGTGGGGCCAGAAAGGCTTAGTGGGGTCTGTGGGAGCTACTGGGGTCCTGTGAAGTCAGAGGATCTTGGTTTGATCTGCAGGGTTGGAAGGGTACAGTGGGATCTATGGGAGTCAGTGAGGTCTGTGGGGTCAAAAGCTGTGTGAGGCTCAATGGGGCCAGAGGGGATCCAGTGGGGTCTGCAGAGTTGGAAGGGTACAGTGGGGTCTCTGGATCTCCCTGCGGTCTACATGGTTTAGTGGGGCGTATGGGGCTAAAAGCTCATAGGGTCTGCAGGTCTCTGCGGGGTGCATGGGACTTGGTGGGGATGCAGGGTCAGAGGGGATTTGTGGGGCTCCATGGGGCTCTGGAGCATCTCCGTGGGGAGTGTGGGGCTCCATGCGGTGTGTGGGGCTCAGCGCCTGCCCCACACCCTCTGTCCCATCGCGGTGACTCAGCTCCGGGCAACGGCCGCAGGGCGGGGCGGGATGTGCTGCCGTGTCCCCCCTCTGACCCCCCCACCCCGCCCCGCCTCGGTCTTCCCTATGGACACCCTCGGGACCCCCCCCGCCCTGGGCACACTGAGTCACGGCCCTCCTCCCAGGGTGGGGCCCTCCTGGATTCCCTACAACAGTGGGGAGGGGGGCACATCCCAGAGCTGCTTCCCCGTGCCCACCCCCCGACTCCATTTCAGGAAGGGAGACTCCACCCTGGGGGGGGGGGGGGGGGCACGGGGGTGTCCCTCCGGCTCAGCGTTGGTGCTTTGGGGAGGGGGGGGATACAGTTCAATTTTGGGGACCGCTCTTCTGTGCGTTGTAAAGGGAAAAAAAAATGGGGGGGAAGGGAGGGGGAGGAAAGTGGGAAAATGGGGGCATCCCACCCTAAAGGGAAAATAATGGGGGAGTCCCACCCTTTGCACTGAATTTCCCCCCCCCCCCCAACCAAAAAAAAAAAAGCTGCAGCATCTCTGGGGGGATCTTAAAGTTTATGGGGTGATGGGAGAGCATATAGGGAGGGAGGCAAACTTCATGGGGCAATGTGCGGGGTGTGAGGAGCCTTCAAAGTTTATGGAGTGAAGGGGAGGGAGTGAGGGGGACCCCAAACTTTATGGGGTGATGGGGGGGCGGGGGGAGGGAAAGAGCCAAGCTCTTCTAAGAGGAGTGCAGGATGGGACCCCCCCCCTCTGGATGGAGATGATGATGGAGTGGGGTACTCCTATGCAGGGGGTGGGATGGGGGTAACCTCTATGAATGGGCGTCCTCTCTAAGTGTGTAGGGAGGTCCTCTATAAGAGGGGGCCCTCACCCCTGTGTGGGTCAATGCCTGGGGGGGGCTGGGTTGCCAAGGGAGGGGGTCCAACGGGGAGGTCCGCTGGAGGATGTAGAGCCGGGGGGATCCCCTCGGTCCGGGGGAGGGTCGGTACTCACCGCGCAGCGCAGATCTGGGCACTGCGGGGCGATGGCACCGCCCGGGATAGGCACGGAGGGGGCGGGACAGCCCGGGGGGGGGACCCGGGGGGGGCCCGGCTGACTCAGCTGCTCCCGCCCGCAGCGCTGCGCCTTAACCCCTTCCTGCCCTCTGCCCCCCCCCATGTGTCACCTGAACGCCATTCCTCTCCTCGTGACACTCCTGGGATGGGGACAGCTCTGGACAGAACTGACCTTGGGGACAAGGCCACCTTCGGGTACGGGGCCATCCCCAGGGTGAGGGCCACATCCCTGAGCCAGGTCCCTAAATGTGGCCCTAACCCTAGGGACAGGGCCATGCTTGGGAACAGGACCACCTCAGGGGCCATGGCCACTCCTGGGGACAGAGCCATCCTTAGGGTCAAAGACACCTTTGGGGACAGGAACGTGCTTAGGGACATGGCTTTCTTTGGGGACATGGCCACCCTTTTTGGGGACAAGGCTATATTTGGAGACATGACTGTCTTTGGGGATGCGGCCACACTTGTGGGCAGATCCATCTCTGAGGACAGGACCACAGCTGGTGTCAGGGTCACCTGTAGGACAGCGCCACCACAGGGACAGGGCCGCACATGGGGACAGTGACGGCTCCGATCCCTTTGAGGACAGCTTCCTCCCCCATTGAGGTCGCACATGCCCTTTGTTACTACTGATTGCAGCTGGTGCCTGGCAGTGCCCAGCAGGCACTCTGCCATCGCTGCCCACGCAGCGCGTGTGACAATTAGTGTAGCTAATTACCGGGGGGTTGCCCTAATCCCTTCCCCCCCCCCCCCCCCCTAAAAAAAAAAAAGCCCTGAAGGAAACGGGGCCTTCTTGGGGCCCTCCCAGTTCTCAGCCCCCGCCCTGCCCCCAGGGCCAGCCCTTCCCTACCCCAAATGGTCCCCATTCTCCACATCTCACCCCCACTCCCCAAAGGCCTCCCCAAAAACTGAGACTCTTCCCCCCCGTTACCCCCGTGATCCCCTCCTATCTCTTCGCTGTCCCCTCACTGTTTCTCTGTCCCCACTCAAGATGGCGGCGCCTCCTCACACCCCTCCCGCCCTCACCCAACATGGCGGCAGTCCCATATGTTCCAAAATAGCGATGAAGCCGACGCCCCGTACTCCGGAAGCGCTCATCCTCTTGCCCATATCCAATATGGCTCCGCGCCGCCCGTCTGTCTCTACAGGCGTGAAGGCGGCGAGGTGAGCGTGGCCCGGATGTGGGCGGTGCTTGAGGAGGGAGGGGAGCCCGGAATGTGACGTCGCGCCGGAAGTGACGTCGCTCCGTCAGCCGCCTGCAAGCGGGGAGAGGAGCGGACGGAGCCAACATGGCGGCGCCGAGCGAGGCCCGGCCGTGAGGGGAGGGAGCGCGGGGCCGGGCATGGCGGGGGCGGCCTAGGGGGAGCCTCGGCGTTACCTGGGCCGCCTCTCCGCTCAGCACAGCCCTGTAGCGGTGGGAGGCAGCGCTCGAGAGGCCTCGGCCGGGTGCCCGGGGGATGGGGGCCTAACGGGGCCCGGCCCTCGTAGCTGCGTCGTGAGGCGGCCGCGGGGCCTGGGGGCGGGGCTGAGGTCTCAGGGGGAAACTGAGGCACGGGGTGGGACGAGGTTGGACGTAGTGGGTCTGCGTACGCCACTCAGCCCCGTGGGGGTGCCGGGGGGCCGCTGTAAGGGGGGCACAGAGCTCCCTTTGGGGCTGAGTTCTCGAGGGGGCCCCTCTCCAAGTAAAAGGGCGCCGGGGAGGTGTTAGAGGCTGTGGGGACGGCGTGAGCCTGGCTCCGGGCCTGTAGTTCCATCCAGAATCCATTTTGTTGGCTTTTTTTTTTTTTTTTTCTTTTGCAAATTTTGTGAGCAAAGCCAGTTTTCTGGAGGAGCTCTTGGGGAACAAACAGGTTTAAAACAGCCTTCCCCTCACTTAGTTGTGCTACTGAGGGAGGAACGGGGATTTGGCGTTGAGAATATGTCTGAAGGAGCAGCGTAGGGAGCACAGGGTTGATTCAAGACATCAGTAAATTATTACAGAGTGAAGTAGGGATTAAAAAAAAAAAGTTTAGGCATCGGAGCTGCTTAAAAAAAAAAAAGAGAAAAAGACTGTTTGGTGGCTTCTGGAAAGTCCACCGTGGCAAGAGGGCCACCAAAGCTGGAAGTGTGGCTTCCTGTAACAAGAGCCAAACGAGGGCCACGCTGTAG